ATAAACATGTGCATGTGCATATGTATGATGAGTTATGTATATTGTTGTATAGATATCTGTTAGTTATAGTTGTATATTTATATATTAGTAAATTTATTAATAAAATGAAATTATGATGGCTGAGTCAAAATCAAATAGTGTGGATTTGATTTGAAATTTATCTTTTAAACCAAGAATAAAGGCTAATAATACTGCACAAAGCTTGAAATGTAGCTCCTATATAGCCCTTAAAAAGCAACTTGATCATTTAATTATATTTTATTATATTATCGTCCAAAAAAAAAAAATCTCTGTTTTCCATATAGCAAGCCATAATAAAATTTTTAGAGCCAGATTGGGACTTTTAACAGCAATTAAAAGAAATGGCTAGCCTAAATATTGGTTATTCTACACCAGGTCAGAAGTGTTTCTTTTCTTTACACTTATTTTAAGATTATCACTCAACTAGTATGCATACTAAAGCAAATTCAACAGCAACAGTTGTGTCAAAGTGTTCCCTACAAAGTCGCTTATAACCACTTGGAAGGTTGTGTTAGAAAATTTTTGCTTTTAATTATAAGGGACTGATTTATAGTTATTTATTTGGTCATTTTATCCAATTTAAATATTTGTAAATTTAGATAAAGGCAAATTTAGAGCATATTAATTGATAATCTGAAACTAGAAGTTTGTTCTATATTCCTATGGTTACTATTAATAAGAAATTTTGTAAAGTTGGTTAACAAAATCACTCTTTTTTAAACTAACATATTTGAGATCCAGAACTTACTGTGAAAGATCTTAGTTAATCTGAAACTAATGGTTTATTTTATCTATTCTTCCAATAGTATTATTAAAAAGAATTTTTGTGTAAAGTTACAAGGCTATTCCCCTTTTTTAACTTGTTGATTTTTTGAAATCTTGGACCCAGTGACCCAGCTTTTAGAATATTGTTGAGCAAATAAACAGTATAAGGTGTTAAGAGTTGGTTTTTGTGTTTTATCCAAAAAAATTATTTAAAAAAACAAATTCCTAATGCCTAACTTTCTTTGATTTTAGAAAATTGAATAATATTTATTTGATTATAAAATTTTTTTTGTTTACATGTTATGGATGCATCACGTAAACTCTATGAATCATATATGAATTGATCGACGAGGGGGTTCGAATTTTTCCAGAATCGATTTCCATATTGGATAAAATACCTGACTGTATTGGACAATTTAACGATCAGCTATCAATAGCTGATTAACCATTTAAGGGATAAGCAGTTAATATTAATGATTATAGATGATCTGCACCGCCAATAAAATTTCTAAATCGACAATGCACATTATATTAACTATGTAGTACTTTTATTATCGCTACATTGTTTAATTAAGTACAAATGAAAATGTCTTCGAATAAAAGTGATGAAAAAAAAAAAGGGAAATTACCAGAGACAGAAGAACCTATTAAAGTCAATAATAACAACAACCAATTACAAAATCAACAAAAAAGTGTAAATGAAACACCATCAAGCAATAACGATAATATTGATAATAAGTTAGTGTCATCAACAACAAGTGTAGTGAATAACAATGATGACTCTAGTACTTTAGATAAATCAAAATCTATTTTATTAAACAATAACAAA